GCTGCTCACAAACATTTCCACTCAAAGGACCTTAAAATCTGATCTCTGCCTATGTCACTCAAATGCTGACTTTTAGCCTATTGAAGTGACTCCTTTGAAAACTGAAAATAAAGGTAAGAACTCTTCGCAGACCAGGTGCTTCACAAAGGGCTCGGCACCCAGGCAGTGACTAAGTGTTGTCTGAATGGAATGCTTTCCATTCGAAGGTATTTTGAAATGTGCTATTCATATGCCATAAAATGGCTTGAATACAAATTATTTAGACTGTTGAAACAGGAAGGGGCATGCGGCAAATTAAGGAAATTAAAGAGAAACGGAGTATAAATGATTATTAAGTCTTCGAAACTCAAAGAGGCTGGTTATATATCCTTGAAATCTTCTTTCCTGGCTTAGCTGTGAGGGATGAGCGTTTTGGGATCGAATAAGCCTCTTCTTTAGTAATACCTCTAATTTGTGTTGTACATACTTGCTGTAGCCAAACTGATCTGAACAAACCGCTTAATATGCTCAGGTGGTTTTTTAAAGGCGGAATTTAAAGCATTCCTTAATAACCCCTACACTATTCAGAAGTCACTCAAATATAGCTCAGAAACAAAACAGGTTTTTCCACCACAGACAACAAAAAATGGTAACAAAATGGTTACTTTGTAACAACTTGGGCTTATTACTTCTGGCATCAGACCTAGTGAAGCATTCAACTCATCTCATGGCCAACAAAATGTTGTGTTCAGTCATCCTGTAACTTCCAAATAATACCAAAAGAGCTGATGCATAAGGCAGGTTTTCCATAATTTCCCCAAATTTCATGAATAACTTGGTTAATCCGTGATGTGGCAAGAGCCAAACCTAGGGCAGTAAAGAATCCCCGATGAAGACCTGTGTGGGAAGCTGTGAGATCAACTTACTGGCAAACAAGCACACGTTCACCTGGGGCTCCTTTCAGGCCCTATTGGAGTTAGGAAGCAGAAACCACCTGCAGTAAATTGCCAGCAGGAGGACATTCACTCAGTTTTTCTAGTTCAAATTCCCCCCTAGTCTTTCCTCTTAAGTGCTTGTGAAATGTTGCCCATAGTATCTAGTTGTGGAACTGACTCTCTGCTTCAAAGAGCAGCATGAAGGGGATTCCAGACTCTCTCAGGACTAGGAGAAGCAGGAAAACAAACAACTCAGCAGTCTATCTGCTATGATAGGGTCTCAAAAAGCATTTGGTGAACTGACATGTGACCTAAAAAAGATCATGGCTATAGGCTAATTTCAAGCTGGGGGTTAAAGCAACACACACACACACACACACACACACACACCACACACTTAAAAGTCATCACCAGTCATCCATAGTGCAGTTTTTTTCTTTTTTTAAATGGCTCCTATACAGTGTCCCAAAGCTCTCAGTGCAATTTTAAGCTATAAAGTCCAGGAGTGTGGGCTGAACTCCCCACAGGGGTCTCAATATTTATCATCAGTTAAATGCAGCCAAATTAAAAGAGTCATTTTTACAGATTATAGTGAATGCTCACAAAAATAAATTAAGGGCTTGTGCTGAAACACCCAAAAAAGAAACTTTAATAAGGTGCCCTAGCAAAAGTGCTTGGAGTGTATTCAAATGGAAAAGCTTGGGCTGGAAATACTTGTTTAGAGAAAGAGTGACACCACCCCACTCTCCTTCATCAATCCAAGCCATCTTAAGTGTTCAAGGTCTGACCAAGCAAGGATGTATTTTATTAAGACCTTTTTCACCCTGAACTAGATCATATCCTTGGGAATAAACAAATTTTATTCACTGAGCAAGTAAAAGAGATTCTTGATTACTACTGTAATTCTTTTGTGTAGACTGCTTCTGGGTTAATGTAAAAAGCTCAGCAGAGAACACCAGGTGCAATCAAAAGGCTTTATTATTCAAGATCAGCTCAAAGCCCCTGACACTGACAGAGGCAGGGGTAATTATTATCTCATTACATCTGACCTTTGGCACCCATCTGAAGTACTAGTATTCCAAGTGGGACATGTTACACCCAGCAGACTGTTGGCACAGTTTTCTGACAGTCACATTTATGCCAATTTCACTCAGTCATGCTGCCAGATGTACAGGGATACAAGCACCAAAAGAATCTACTTTACTTATTATTATTTTATTCTTTTAAATGGATATACTTCCCCACTGGCTTTTCAAAGCAACATAAATGGCATCACTGTCAGGTACTGGTCATAAACAGTACCTCACACCCTAACACACAAAAATCAAAACACCAAACAGAAGCAGAGTTAGTAAATAAATTTATGCTATAGGATGCTTTATTTTGAACACAGCAATTCTAGGGCTTCTATTTATTTTTCTCCTTGGGAAAAACCATGTAGAATTCATGCTAGTTGTCCTTTGCAGTTCTTACTGTTACAAGCTTAATTTGTAAGAAACAAAGGAATCAAAGGGCTTTCATTAAGAACAGATTTAACTGGAGATACTGGATAGAGTGGGAGGAAAAACGTGGAACAAAATTCAAAAACACCAATAATGACCAGGATTACTGGTCAGATGGAGTCTGCTGGGACCCCTAAGACTATGGTCCTGGGATACACTTTGGGCCTGGAATAAAAGTCACTCCCAAGTGCTGGCTCTCAGCCCAACAGTTGTTCGACTTACATGTAGCACATCCAACCCAGGGCCATGCACTCACTATTCTATGGAGTTACATCCCTTGGAGCAATTGGCCATGGGGCACCAGAGGGGCAACATTCACCTGGAGGAAAAAGATGGATAGACACGAGTGCATTCCTAAGATGTGCACAGGGATGGGGGTTCACATGGAAGGGAGAGGAGGAGAAGGAGTTAGGGTTGGGGATAGTCATTGGGGATAGTAAAACCAAATGTACACGAACATTTGAATGTAAAACAAATTCTGCTCTGTAAATTTGCACCCAAAGTGCGCACACACACGCACACACATGCACACAAAAGAACAGATTTTAAAAGTGTGACAAAAACAGAAATAAAGTATATTAAGTCATCAAGGCTATGGATAAAACAAAGTTTCAAGACTGGAAAGAGGCTCTCCTCCAAGTACACAGCATATGGAAAGTACAGGGAGCTGATTTCCATGAAGTTAAAATGGGGAAAAACAGAAAACAGTGGTTCACATCAGATGATCACTACATGTTAACTAATGACTAAGGGGAGAGGTCTTCAAAATATTTTGCAAAATATTAACTAGGAGTCAGTCTATAAACCAAAGAAACAAATTCACTGCCATCAAGTTGAATTCAACTCATAGCAACCCCCATAGGGTTTTTAAGGCTGTAAATCTTTACAGAAGTAGACTGTCTCATCTTTCTACTGCTGAGTGGCTGGTGGCTTTGAAACACCACCCTTTTGGTTAACAGCCAGATGCCTTAACCACTGTACCACCAGAGCTCTTTCTATACACTCTCTTTATCAAATATCTAGAAAAAATTTTGTTTTTGGTTCAGAGCCATATTAGAAGGCCATCACTTTTTACGTAGATTAGAGAACTGTGATAGTTATGGTTGTGTGTCAACTTGGCTGGGCCATGATTCTCAGTAGTTTAGCAGTTATGATGTCATCACCTCCTTGATAAGCTCTGATATAATGTAATCACTTCCATGATGAGATCTGCTAGGAGCAGCCAATCAGTGGAAAGGGCATTTCCTTTGGGGTGTGCCTTCCTTCTAATATATCTGGAAAAGCTCTCTGGCTTTTTGCTTGTTCTGAATCCTTCATCTGGCTCACCATCATCTCTAGTTCTTAGATTTGAACCAGCAGCATGCTGTGCTGCCTGCTGGTCTTGGGCTCATCAGCCTGTGCAGCTACATGAGTCAAGAGATGCCTCCAACTTGACCTATGACCCACAAGACTCGGGACTTGCCAACCTCTACAACTGGGTGAGCCATTTCCTTGAGAGAAATTTCTTTTTATTTCTCTCTATATAAGCTTCACTGGTTTTGCTACTCTGGAGAACCCAGCCTAAGACAGAACCCAAGAAATCAAGTTGAGAAAGATGAGTTATTTTTCAAGTTCTAGATTTGCAGTTTAGAGTTACCTTCTTTAGGAAAAAAAAAAAAAAAATAGTAAGAAACCATTACTTTTTCTTATAATCTGATGACTTATTATTGCTTTTTTTAAAGTTGCAGACCTCACAGAACTGACTCCTGCACCTGATTTTGAAACCCACCTTCAGTATATGACTATTGATTTCATAAACATCTTTCTGTAGTCAATGGAGAAAGGTTACTCTTTCAGAAAGTGATGTTGGATTGGTAACTGCTTGGTAAAATTATGGGGATCTCAAATCTCACATGAGAACAATAAGAACCACAGATATTTGAGGGAAAAAAGATGAACAAAGATTTCCACTGCTGTTCTAATTTCTTAAAAGAGATGACATCTCTCACTGATTTTAAAATAACAATGAGAACTCAAAGAGATAGCATCTTTATACGGAACCAGTACAGAAGTACTTATCTGAATATCACCTTTTTACAGTGATTCTTAAAACAAAAAACACAAAACACAAGTGTTGTGAAAAGGTTATATATTTCCAATAACATTACACTTGGTTGAGACAGAACAGATCCAAGGGGCATCAGCAGAAGTTTTGCACATAGCCCTATTGCCGTGGCCAGTAGATATTTCTCAATGTGCACAGAAAGCTTCAGAGTGACAAGAAGTACATGTCGAAGTCTTTTTACCTCCATGAACTGGGACTGTAGAGAAGATGTATAATTTAAAAAGTGAAGGCTATTCATTCAAAATACTAGAGTGATAAAATTTTACTTTATGAAATTTAGATACAGCATTCATCTGAAGATGCTGCATATACAATATGATAGTAGATTCAGAGTAGAATTTACAAGTCAAAAGAATTTTCTCTAAAAATTAAAAGATGGTAGCTTTTTTAAAGACTATAGTATAGAGTCACTTGGTGGTTTATTCATTTTGTTGTAGTGGGTCAATGAATTGTTAAACTCACTCACATTGGAATCTATAATTATGTTGACTGTTCGGGACTACTGTAGTCATCTTGGGATTTTCTATGGAAGTATGTACAGATCTTCCTCATGGAACAGGGAGTAATGGTGACCTAGAAGATGAAAGTTTAGATTTCAGAAAAAAGTTCAGCTGTTAGCAAATTATCACAAAGGGGAATTTTAAGTTAGTTTGCCTAGAAGTTTGATTATTTAGTCAGCTTTCTGTCTCAAGTGTCTTAATGGCAATGTCTCTTTTGGCTGGACTTGTACTGAATATTGTAAAAATTTAACAGATGGCATTGCAAGGAAAGAAGGCATAGAGTTTGCATGTGAGCAAAAAATATTTACAAGTTAAACTTCCCAATAGTAACCCAAGTGGGTACACTCACGACCCTCTTTGAAATAAATGAATAAATAAGTTTCCCAAATTTATGAGTGAGATAGGCATTCCAAACAGTAGCTATTACCCTCTTTTGGAGAAGTCTAGAATATCATCAAATACATAAAGAAAAAAAATTCTTTTAAAGAAGCTTTGGCTTCAAAGATAGAAATTATTAAACCAAGAATATCTTAGACCAGCACATTAATTTTTAAAAGACTTTAAGATTTACACATTAGTGAAAATTACTTTTCACTGATATTGTTTTCTACTAACACATAGCTGAGATCAGTTATCTTGAAAAAATAGGAATTCTGGGCGAGAAGCAGAGTAGATATTCCATAATTTTGAGAGAAGAAAGGAAAGACTCCTTATAGCAATTTTCTCCCACTTCATTTTCTGTAGTTGACGAGGTCTTGTTTGGAGTTTGTGTTCCAAGTAGTCCTTAAAATATTTTTGTTTATTTTTCCTAAAGTTATGGGATAGACTTCATGATAAAATGTGTGGGATAAGAACATTTACTTTATTAAACTAGAACTGGCCTAAGGTTATCTAGCTTCTGCCCTTTAAAAGGCAGATCTTGCTGATTATGATTCCTGGATTGGATTTCAATCACCTTCCCACCTTCTACTTAACACAGAACAAGAGCTACTAGGCTTAATTACAAGGAGAACTTCCTTAACCCATTTACTCTTAACCTGCAAACTGAATCCCCCTCAAAGTGCTTTGTATGTATCTAAGTTTCACATTATTTTAAATAATCATAAACTAATTACAAACCAGAAATCTACTTGTGCATATTTGCATTTTGCCCATGAATAACAGCTTTATTTATAAAAAGGAGATGGCACCAACTATATGCTATTTACAGGAGACACATCTTAAGCCCAGTGACACAATGTGGTAGATAATTTTGTGTGCTGTCTTGGCTGGGCCCGGTTGAGTGGCTGGGCAGCTGCTGGTAGTTATTCCCCATGATGAGACTGGCAATCAACTCCACGGTGGGATCTACCATAAATAGTTGAGTAGCTGCTTTAGGGATGTGGTCTGCTTCCCATATATAAGAAGCAGCTTTGGGTATGGTCTCTAGCTTATGGCATGCTTGAACCCTGCATGTAGCCAAGTCATTGTTCAGCAGCCTGCTATATGCTCTGCCGATCTTGGGACTTTCAATAGACTTGACTGAGTGCCTGCCGTATGGTTTGGTAACATTGGGACAGTGCCTTTTCCCTTGCTGACCTTGGGTTTGTCAGCTCAGCAGCCAGAAGCTGTCTGAGTGAAGAAAAGCCTCCAGCTTCAGTGGGCTGGGAGCAGGAGGCAGAGCTGAAGCCCAAGTTGAGGGGGTTTCACCTAGCCCCTAGAGCCTGGCACTTTGAACTCGAACTTCCAGCCTCCAAAACTGTAAGAGAATAAACTCCTGTTTGTTAAAGCCTTCCCATTTGTGGTATATTCCTGTCAAAGCGGCACTAGGTAACCAAAACACACAAATAGGTAGAAAGTGAAAGGATGGAAAAAAATATTCCATGCAAATAATAACCAAAAGAGAGCTGAGGTGGGAATCTTACTATCAGATAAAGTAGACTTTAAGACACAGTTGTCATAAGACATAAAGACAGACATCATATAGCAATAAAAGAGTTCATCAAGAAGATTTAACGATCCTAAATATATATGTACCCAACGTTGGGGCACATAAATATATAAAGCAAACACTGTTAGAACTTAAGGGAGAAATAGATTGTACTACAGTAAAAGTTGGAGACTTCAACAAACCACTTTCAATACTGGACAGAACATCTAGAAAGAAGATCAACAAGGAAACAGAGGGTCTGAATGACATTATAAACTAACTAGACTTAACTGACATATATGGAACATTCTACCCCAAAACTGCACAATATCCATTCTACTCCAATGCATATGGATCATTCCCTAAGACAGACCACATTTTGGGTCACAAAACTGGTCTTGATAAGTTTAAAAAGACAGAAATAATACAAAGATTTTTGCTGATCACAATGAAGTGAAGCTAGAAATTAAAGAAAAAACCTGGAAAATACACAAGAGTATAGAAATTAAACATCACACTATTAAACTACCAATGGCTCAAGGAAGAAATCAAAAGAGAAATTATAAATTTCTTAGAGTCAAATGAAAGCACAATATACCAAAACTTAAGGGATGTAACAAAAGTAGTACTCAGAAGGAAACTTATAGCAGTAAATGCCTACATAAAAAAAGAAAGATCTCCAATTAACAGCCTAATTTGAAAATTCGAGGAACTAGAAAGAGAAGTGCAACCTAAGTCTAAACCCATCAGAAGAAAGGAAGTAACAAAGATCAGAGCAGAAATAGAGAAAATTGAAAACAAAAAAGTAGAATCAATAAAACCTGAAATTGGTTCTTTGAAAAGATAATGAAATTGACAAACCATTAGCTAGACTGACAAAGAAAAGATGTAAATAACCAAAATAAAAAAGGAAAGACCCAGCATTAATAGCAAAGTTCAAAAAAACCAGAAAACAACAAATGGTATTAAGGGTGTGTAAAGATTTGAACCCTCAAACCTGCTGGTGGGGCTGTAAAATGGTAGAACCACTGTGGAAAGTGGTATGATGTCTTCTTAAAAAGATGGAAATAGAAATAACATGATCCAGCAATCCCACTAGTTGGTATATAGCCTAGAGAAATAAGAGCCATAATACAAATATATACACATCCATGTTCATCACAGCATTATTTACAATAGCAAAAAGATAGAAACAACCTAAGTGCCTATCGATGGATGAATGGATAAAAAAAGTATGTTCCATACATAACAGAATATAAGTCAAGGTTAAAGAATAATGATGAATCTGTGAAACACCTCCTAACATGGATGAACCTTGAGAACACTATGCTGGGTGAAATTAGTCAATCATGAAAGGACACATATTGTATGGGACTCCAAACTCCATTGGCATGAAGTTGATTCCAACTGTAAAATGTCAAGAAAAGGTTTACACACAGAAAGAAACATTTCTTGAAGGTTACCAAGGGTGGGAGGGGAAGGGAGAATAAATCACCAACTAAAGAGTAGACACATATTAACTCAGGAGAAAGGAAATATACAAAAAGGGGGAGGTCAACACAAAATAATTAAGGTGAAGGAAGACAATGAGAGAAGCACAAGAATTAAAGGCAACAAAGGTAAATACTGTTACATACCCAATCCTGCAATAGCAGTAATAACAATAATCTGTGATACATAAGCTGAACAGGGGTGGGAAGGTGAATGAGACTATATCTATAAATACAGAGAGGTGTGACAGAAGATATTTATACTATGTATTGACATATGCCACAAATATATCCATGAATTTGGTAGAACATACAGAGGGCAAAGTTATGAAAACTTCTTAGCCATAACCAAACACCTTGAGGGGGCTCAGGACCTTAGTTTCAGAGGACACCAAGGTCAATTGTCATAACATGGTCCACAAAGAAACATTCTACATCCTACTTTGGTGAAAGCTTGTGAAAGCCATCTAAGGTGCAACAATGGTCTCTCCTGTCCAGAGCAAAGAAGAGTGAAGAAAATCAAAGATGCAAGGAAATAACTGGCAAAGGACTAATGGACCACATGAAGCCCAGACTCCACAATCCTGAGACCAGAAGAATTAGATGGTTCCTGGCTACCACTGCCAACCACACTGAAAGGGATCACAACAGGATGTCCTTGATAGAGTGCAAGAAAAATGTGGAGCAATACTCAAAAGTCATAAAAAAGACCAGGCTTATTGGTTTGAAAGAGATTGGTAGAAACCCCAAGACTATGGCCTTTAGAAATCCTTCAGCCCTGGAACTGAACCCTGTAGTTCAAATTTAACCAAATAACAGGCCTAAAAGGTGAACAGTAACACCAGGCAAGTACATACTCCTCAGAACAGTCAGCCATATGAGATCAAAAGGGCAGCATCTGCCCAAGGACAAAGCTCAAAAGGCAGAAAGCAATAGGAAAAGGGGATGAATGGAAATGGTAAACACAGGGAGGAAGAGGGAAGAGTACTGCTACAATGTGGAGACTGCAATCAGTGTCACAAAACTCGACTGAATTATTGAATGGAAAATCAATGTTCTCTGTTAGCTTCCACCCAAACCACAATACAAAGTTGAGGAGGAAAAAAAATGAAAGAAGGGACATTGCAACCAACACAATAGAAATAAAGGGAATTAAAGAGCTCTAGTAGCACAATGCCTAATGCATTTGCCTGCTAACCAGCAGGTTAGTGGTTCAAAACTACCAGCCACTCCGTGAAGGAAGACAGGGAAATCAACTCAATAAACATTTACCACCTTGGAAACCCAATGGGGGTTGCTATGTGTTACAATTGACTCAATGGAAGTGAGTTGTTCTAGACACAGTATTATGAACAACTATATGGCAACAAACTGGATAATGTAGATGAAATGGACAAATTCTTAGAAGCACACAACTTATCCAAACTGAATCAAGAGGAAATAGAAAAGTCTCAATAGATCCATAAAAAATGAAAAGATTCAATCAGTGATCAAAAACTTCCCAACAACAAAAGGCCTGGATCAGGTGGCTTCACTGGGTATTTTACCAACAATGTACAGAAGAACAGACTCTAATACTGTTCAAACTCTTGCAAAAGATAGAGAAGAAATACTCCCTAATTCAAAAAAGGGGGTGGCATACTGTATAACAAAGAGGAGGAGAAGTAGTTTTGAACTGATATTCTGAAGGAAGGGGAAAGCTTGGGATAATTAGGTTACAGTTGAGTATGAACTTACTGGGCTTGGTGACATCTTCCCACTCTGTCGCCTGGAACTGGGAGTCTGGGATGATGGACTTCGTGGAGATGAATTCTCAGCCTTCCGTTTGGCTGCCATGGCCAATAACCAGTTTTTATTCTCTGGGGAGCTATTCTCTTTGCCTATGACTTCAGACCCTTCTCCACAAGATCTCAGAGGAAGAGGCAGCGCTCCACAGCCTTCAGAAGCATAAAGACTGGCAGGAGAAGGGGGCTCGGAGATGCTTGCACTAGCTCCTTCAATTCTGCTTGATTTAGAAAGCCCTTCTGAGTTCTTACCAAGGTCTTCCTGGTTACCAACCAGGCAGCACAGATCCAAATGAAGCTTTTCAACTCTGCCATCAAGCTCAGTCACACAATTGCAACTCTTCACACACTTTTGTTTCACATCTTCCAGACAGCTTGAGTCTAGCCTTCTCTTAACTCTGTTTCTAGACTCAGAGCAAACCACTGCTTGAGATGATTTCTGGCTCACAGGAATGAGGGCTTTTCTTGGAGATGGGCTCTTGGTCTCAGAAGCAGGCGGAGTGATGGGTGGAGATGAGGAAGGTGTTTGGGTCATCCAGTTTTTAATTGACATCTTGAAAGAAGATGGTGGCTTGGGAGAGACGGAGGAAACGGAGCCTCTTGTACTGATAGGAGACTGGGCTTTGGCAGGAGGGGTTTTAGCAGAGAATGTGGGAGTATTAGAAGGAAGAGGGAGGTCTCCAGTACAGCTTGGAGCACAAGCTGCTGATGATGGGGAGGAAATGGATGGACTGCTCTTTACCCTGGGGGCTTTGGCTGGAGTACTCTGGCTACTTGTCATTGTAACTGAAAAAGAAGAGAGGGTAGGGTCATGAAAATCAGAAGTGAAAGTCACTAAAAAAACAAAACAAAATAAAACAAACCTTTCAATTCCCATCAAAGAAAATTATAGCTAATTCAATCATCCAGGAGTTGACTTGCTGGTGAGTAGATTATATAAATCATTTAATTCTTACCTCACCCTTTCAGTATTTTCCTTCCTCTTTCCCAGTTGCCAGCCTCCCCACCACCTTGATGTAAAACAGACACTAGTAAAATTTAGAAAATACAGAAAAATACAAAGAAAAACTGAAAAGCACCCAAGTACAACCACTTTTAGTATCTTTTTCTATTCATGTGCAGGTGACATTTATTACACATTGCACATTTTTCTACATAAAAATGATCATGTACATACTATTTAATAATATGTTTCTTAATATGTCATGAGTATCTCTCCACATTAGTATAGATTTACATTATTATTTTTAACAGCTACAAAATATTCTAGTATTCTAAAATACAGGTGTTCTGTAAGGTATGTAATCAATCCTCGATAGAAGATTACAAGGACATTTAGGCAGTTTATAATACTTTGACTTCATAAGCAAAGCTGCCATTAACATTTCTCTATATACCCTTGAGTGGTGCTAGGGCCAAGGGCCATGATCCTGGGGCTCTCAAATAAAAACACACAGGCTTGAAACCTGGCCACTTACTCATTACATGATTTTGGGTACAACGGTTCACCTCTTCTACTTCAGTTTCCAGGTCTTTTAAATGGAGATAGCTTTTATCTCCAGAAGACTTCTATCAATTATGTGTTAAATTTATCTGGTTATACATGACTTCCCTCCATAATTTGCAGATTGCTAGTATGTTTCACAAGCTAAAAAAAAATTTCAGAATCTCCAGTGCTTGTTCTAGGTAGAGCCAATCAATCTTAACGAATAGGAATCTTCACTGTGCGTCCTGTCCCTTTGGGGAAATTCTTATACACTTGATGCTTTTTCCCTGTCTCCTCCTCAGGCTCCATCAGAGACAGCACTTTATTTTCTCAATTTCCTTCTGAGCTTTCTAGTTTTCTGAAATAATGTTCCTGTTGGCAAATAACAAGGGAGGGCATCTATGTATTTGTAAGCTTTTCACAGATTGGGCAGGTCTGCTACAAAAGACCTCTTGAAAGTGTAAAAGAGCAAAGATGTTACTTTGAAGACTAAGGTGCACCCAACCCAAGCCATTGTATTTTCAATAGCTTCATATGGGTGTGAAAGCTGAACAATGAATATAGAAGACTGAAGAAGAATTGATACATTCAAATTGTGGTGTTGGAGAAGAATACTGAATGTACCACAGATTGCTAGAAGAATGTACAAATCTGTCTTGGAGGAAGTACAGTGGAAATGCTTGTTAGAAGCGAGAATGACCAAACTTTGTCTCTTATACTTTAATCATGTTGTCAGAAAGGAACTTTCCCTGGAAAAAGTTATCATGTTGGGTAAAGTAGAGGGTCAGTGAAAAAGGGGAAGACGCTTAATGAGATGAACTGTCACAGTGGCTATGATAACGGGCTCAAGCATAGCAACAATTGTGAGGATGGTGCAGAACCGAGAAGTGTTTCTTTCTGTTGTACACAGGGTCATTATGAGTTGGAACCGATTCAATAGCACCTAAAATCAACATGAAGCTTTTCATTACTCACGTAGTCTTGCCTTGAAACACAGAAATTCTGTAAGTTGAGTTTTGCCTTAACATTTCTCACCAAGCATATGCTGTAGAACCAGGCAAAGTAACAATGCTTCTTCAATACAGATCATTACTGGAAAACCCCATTTTGTATTAAGTTTTCATAATATGTGATAGAAAGGATTTAATAACAGGGACCAGATACTCAAGTTCTAGAAATAGATTACAGTTGTTATTTCAGGAAGAAAGGAAGTTTTCATTTGCTTCACTCCTCAGTGCAGGTTGACAGTCATTGCAGAGCTCTACATGTTCCATTTGAATGGGTTGAAGTGTATGTTTAGGACAGAAAGTCCTAAAATAGTATGGGTCTTGCAATACACATATTCTAAGGCAGGATTAGGGGAGAAGGAAGAGCAGGGTCAAGGGCAAATCAGATTTGTATGTCTCTGATACTTGAGTGGCACAAATTTGAAGTGTTCACTTCAGAGCTTATGATGAAGGAGGGAATGGACCATGAGATCAAAGAGAAGATTTTGTTAACTTTGAAAACATGGAACTCACAATGTACAGATTCTTTGTTAACATTTAAAGTTAACAAAACTCTGGGTCAAATTAGAAAAAAAAACATTTTTTAAGTAACTAAATTATAAAAGAACTATAAGGTCATGGTAACCGATTCAAACAGTACAGAGGGGAATATGGTGAAAAGTAAAAATCTCCTCTTTTAAACCTTCTTATGTTCCTCACACACCACGATATTCCACATACCTATTAAGGACAAAAAGGAGCAATCTACTTTCGTAGTGATACCGCCTCAGAAACTCAAGGAGGGGTCTCAGTGAGTTGGATGTGACTTGATGGCAGTGAGTTTGTTTCTATATATCTAACACACGTATAAAATATATAAAATATCATTTTATATAAAACATAAAATATCATTTCCCTGAACAATGTATCTGTTTATATTTCTTCATATATTCACATATGGAGATGCACTGCATTGTTTCTAATAGAAGCATCATATGTCAGTTTAATGCCCTTTAAATTTAAAAATGACATACCATTTAGTACTTCAACTATTTAAGTGGCTCAACCCTTGTTGTTATTTGCCATCGAGTTGGCCCCGACTCATAGTGACCCCTCCTTGGGTTTCCAAGGTAGTATCACTACGGAAGTAGGATTGCCCAACCTTCCTTCCGAGGAGTGGCTGGTGGGTTTGAACCGCCAGCCTTCTGGTGAGCAGTCAAGTGCCTTAGGCACTATGCTACCAGAGCTCCTGGCTCAACCCTTATTAACCCTAAACAGCATACAAGATCTGACATGGTAGCATACACTTGACTATTGCCCTGGAGGCTTCCTGAAAGTCCATTTCCTTTGAGAAATTATAGAGAGCTTATTAATAATCAGTCATTTTGCAAATTCTTTCTATATAAAAGGTTGCCATCTGCCCTCCCACTACCTTTACAGCCTTATCGCTTACTCTGCTACTTTCGGACGCTGTAACAGGAGACTACTCACTGCTTCCTGAACAAGCAGTGCACCATCAAGTCTCTGCCTTTGTTCATGTGGCTTCTTGCCAAGTCTGCCCCTGTTTTGCCAGGCAAAAATTCTCCTCATGTTTCTAGGCTCTGATGACAACACTCCCTTCATGGTGAAGCACTCACAAACTTCTTTCTTCCTCTCTCATAGAGCTCTCCTCTCCCAGCGCAAGTGGGTTCTCTGAGCCCTTTGTTTATACAGCCAAGAGAAATGCTTTTTGTACCTGCTTCCTCAACTAGACAGTGAGCTCCTAAAGGACAGGGATGGTGATTTACTCATCTTTAGGCCTAGTGCTTCTGTAGAGCCTAGCAAGGAATTATTAAACAACGTTTATTAAATTTTATTCATCATTGCTGAGAGGAATAAGGGGAGGCTCCAGGCACCAGAAAGCAAACTTCATAATTATCCTGATGACTTGTGAGAATGCCACAAGCCACTTAGAACGGTAAGGTTTCCTTCTCTTTAAGATAAGGATAATCACCTTTGTCACTCAATAATGCCTAACCAGAGGTTCTCATTCTGGCTGCATACTAGATTTACCTGGAGATTTATAAAAAATACAGGTGCTTGGCCCCCATCCCAGGCCTATTAAATCAATCTCTGGAGAAATAAAACTTTTACAAAACTTCACTAGTGGTTCTGATGCACAGCCAAGGTTGAGAATCATTGGTCTAGATGGTGTCAGGAGATCTATGGCTAAAACACAGTGAAAGAATAATAAGGGATAGAGCAAGTCCTGGCCAGGAAAAGTAGGGCAGAGAGAAAAGGGATTGTGCCTTGGCATTTGAAGCTTTCCAGTTGGTGTGTTGAAAGAGCCAGAAAAGAAGATATGTAGCTCAGGACATCAGTGAAAAGTTGGGATACAATTAGAAACTTGGGAAAGCAGTGGAACATAATATTCAAAATGGCAGTATGGCTAGCAGCAGTTAGTCTTTGCTGGAAGCTGGCTTAGAGGGTTGAATGGCCCCAGCACTCATGTAAAGTTGTTCTGTGGTGCTCTTCAGAGTAACTCCAGTATGACACACAAAATGGTGAAATCTAGGCATAATTCCAGGTCTAGTGTTTGCTTTGCTGTATTGTTGTTGTTGTTATGGGCCGTCGAGTCAGACCCGACTCATAGCGACCCCTCCTTGGGTTTCCAAGGCAGCATCACTACGGAAGTAGATTGCCCAACCTTCCTTCCAATTTGCTGTATTAGGTTCTGTTGTTGTTGTTATGTGCCGTCGAGTCGGCCCCAACTCATAGCGACCCCCCTCCTTGGGTTTCCGAGGCTGTATCACTATGGAAGTAGATTGTCCAACCTTCCTTCTGAGGAGTAGCTGGTGGGTTTGAACTGCCAGCCTTCTGGTTAGCAGTCAAGTGCCTTAGGCACTATGCTACCAGAGCTCCTGTATTAGGTTCTAGTATTCCAGAATGGTTCTCAGCCTGTGCGCTAGAATTTGACTGTAAGGGTTTGAATTTTGTCTCCACCACCACTTCACAGCTGTGTGATCTTTGTCAGGTCTAACTACCCTGAGTTTCAGTTTCAATTATCTTGGGAATTAAAAATGAGATAATCTAGGCCATGGTGGTGCCAGTGATTTAACATGCCTGGCCACTAACTGAAAGGTTGGGGGTTTGAGTCCACTCAGAAAGGCCTGGAGATCTACTTCTGAAAAATCAACCAATGAAAACTCCACTGAGCACAGTTCTACACTAATACACATGGGGTTGCCATGAGTTGAGATCAACTCAATGGCAACTATTTTTTTTCTCATAACAACAGTGGTAGTACTGAATAGTGCCTAATGTTGTTATTAGGT